TCTCAGTGTCCCGGTAATCGCTGCAAGCACCTCTGAGGGAAAGCCGCCCTCGAGTTCCGACAGATGCCAGACAGGCCAGTTTCTCCCCATATGAGTCTGGGTCCCCAGAGACTCACCCGGAACTGGAGTTCAGAGCAGTCGGGAGCTTGAGACTCCCTCCCAATTGAAAAAGACAACTGTGTCCTCAGTTGCCAGCCCTCCGTACCTCCATGTGCGCCTCCGTACCTCTGCACTTTACTTCTGCACCGCCTCTGAGTCTCAGTGTGCTTTTCTCTTTCCTTCTAGTTGTAGAATTTCCACTCAGCCAGCCTTCCTGTGGTTCATTTTGTCTTTTAGTTGTATTTTTGAAGTGGTTGTGCGAGGCAGCAATTTCTGGTGTTTACCTATGCCGCCATCTTGGTTTCCCAACATGAGCTTTTTAAATACAAATCAGATCATTCCGCTTCCCTGTTAACCTTCCAATGGCTACAAAATACATGCCACAAGGCCTGCATGATCAGGCCCTTTCCACCTCTCCAAACCCCATAAGCCACCCTGCTCCAGCCAGACTGGCTTCTTTCCATTCCTGCAACCCACGGGCCCTTCCTAGCCCCAGGGTCTTTGCACTGGCTGTTCTCTTTATCTGTAATATCCATCCCTACTTCTTTCCATGGCCAGCTCCTTCAGATCTTTTTAGGTCTTGGCTAACATGTCACCTCCTCCTGTAGGCTTTCCTTGACCACAATTTTCACGTGATTACCTCGTTTACTTTCACCTTGCTGTGTCTCTCCTAGAACCTGTATTTGTCATAGTCTGAACTAATTTTATTTATTGCCTTTTGCCTAGTTCCCCCTCTGTGAGGACAGGGACCTTGTCTTTCTTACTTGTCACTACAGCCCCAGCATCTACCACAGTGCCTGGCATGCAACAGTACCTCAATAAGTATCTGTTGAATGAAAATATCTGTAAAATGGGCATAACAGTTAATGAAGTGCATACTATCTGCCAGACCACGTGTAAGCCCTGTACCAATTTCTTTATGTTCAAACAGCTTTTCTCAGTTTATTTCTCTCGGTTCCCCTCTCTGAAGACAACCTATGTTGTCATTTTCCTTTTTGCCTTGTTAGACATGTTATTTATCTAGAACCGAACTCAATGTTATTGTGGTGTTTTTTTTTTAACTTTCTACACAAATGGTCACATTTTTACCTATACTATCTGCACCTGGCTTTCTTCATTTAACAGTCAGGGGGTGGGTCACTTGTGTATCACTGATGGAGAATTGTCTTGACTCCAGGAAACCCTTCCTTCCTTCCTTCCTTCCTTCCTTCCTTCCTTCCTTCCTTCCTTCCTTCCTTCCATTTTTCCTCTCTCTCTCTCTCTCTCTCTCTCTCTCTCTCTCTCTCTTGTTTTCATGTTATGAATATTTTTCCAACATTTTGTTATGAAGATTTGCCACATACAATAAAGGTGGAAGAATTGGACTTCAAACAACCACATAGCTACCACTTTACATTCTATAATGAATGTTTGGCTGTATTTGCCTTAACCCATCTCTATCCATTTGTTCATCCCCCTATCCATCCACCCATTCATTCATCTTACATTTGGAACATTTTAAGTGAATTGCAGATGCTAGCACACTTCCCCATACATCCCCCTTTCAGCGTCCTTCCTTGTTCATTTCAGGTCTGCACAGTAGTATTTAGTTGGTGGATGAACCATGGTTTGTTTACCCCTTGCTCAGGGACACCTGGGGGTTTTCTCCATTGGTGTGCTAAGTATCTGATCCTCACTCACTGATTTTCAGTGTACTCCTGCGAGGTGGAATCACTCTCCCATACGCCCATTTTACAGACGAGAGATCACAGGCTCAGAGAGACTGTGTTGCAAAGACACACAGCTGGAAAGGGATCAAAAGCAGGCGTTTCATATTTTTTTAAACTCAAACTCTTCTTGTGTGTCCACTCTGTGCTCGTGCCACTTCCAGTACCTCACTGTCCTGTGAGCTTCGAGGTGGGGTTTGTTTATAAACAAATGGACATGGGGAGCAGGAATGGTCAGGGGAAGGGAGTGGGACCCCCAAGGCCACCTCCCAGGCAAAGCTATTTAGCCTGTTGGGGCCCAGGAGCCCCTCCTGGCTGGGAACACCCCTCCCCTGGGCCTGCTGACCCTGGTGTTCTCTCTGCAGCCTTCCCAGAGGAGCTGCCTGCAGACCTGAAGCACAGGAAGCTCGGTGAGCAGGGCGGGTGGGGAGGGGGGGTGGGTGGACTGCAAGGCAGAAAAGCCAGGACTCCTCAAGTGCACATAGAAACTGGCATTTGAGAGTCGAGGATCAGAGAGGCAAAGCCGCGTGTCCAAGATCACACAGCTAGTGAGAGGTGGAGCTGGGATTAAAAACAGGTTTTTGATCCCAAAGCTTGTATAGTTCGAGGGCTGCTGGGAAACTCAGCTTCTACAAAGCCTCCTCCCTAACATCCCTCTTCTTTATGCTGAGTCACAGCTGAGACCTTGCTCCACTGCTCCTTTCAGAGTGCAGTCAGTCACCCGTGCCCTCCCGCCCCCAAGCTTCAGTGAGCCTCTTCCTCCTAGCTCACCATCTTCCCCACCAGATGCTTCCTCCCCCCGCCCCGCCACCTCCCTCCTCCCACCCAGTTGTTATTGCAAAGGTGGAAAGACCAGCCCCTGGGGAACAGACTGAGGAATGAAAGGCTCATGGTCTGATGGAGGAAGCCTAGTCCCTGACCTCAGGGAGGTAGGGGTCCTGCCCATGAAGATCCCAGGATAATGGAGAAGCAGTCCCTGTCTTCAGGGAGCTCCCAATCGAATGGGGGAAGCAAGTCTCTAACCTCTTAGATCTCCCCATTACACCCCTGCCCCAGTCTGATGGGGGTACAGCCACTCCTCTTTGGGAAGTGCTTGGGGCTCCTTGGGAGCTCTGTGACTGGCTGTAGAAAGTGGAAGGGCCCTGGGCCAGCAGCCTGTGTACAGGTCTGTCCTGCCTCAGTGGCTCAATGGGGCCATCACGAGTCTCCATTCAGGAAGCTCAACGGGCCCAGGCACAGGAGAGGGCTGGGACAGGGGCCTGGCTGCTGGGCACAGAGTAGTTGCTGATCAAACCAGCTTTGCCCAGGGCTGAGAAGCAGACAGGAGTTTCCTCCAACTGCCAGGAGAGAGATCTACTCTGCTCCCAGAGCGCTCCCACCCCAGGAAGGCCCCTCCAGGCACCCACTTAGATCCCACGCAGCCTCTAACACGGCCTTCCACACAGCCGAGCCCCTGACTGCGCCCATGGTGACTGGCACTTTCCTGGTGGGGCCAGTGAGTGACTCCTCAGCTCTGCCCTGCCCATCACCCGCTGCTCTGTTCAACAAGGAGCCAACATCCGTCCAGACCCAGCTGGAGGAAACCGTCCTGACGCCTGGTAGGTGAAGGGCTGGGAGAAGGAGGGCTTCCCCCTCCCTGTGCCAGAGGAGTGACGAAGGCAGGGCCCACCAGGGACAGAATCCTGACCCCCAACCAGTGTCACCCACTCCCGTCCCAGCCAGTCCCATCCTGGGTTCCCATCAGCTCAGTCTGCGCCAGAAAACATGTCCCCCCCTCCCCCCTACCCCGGGAGGCACAGCAGGGAATCCCCACCAGTTAGAGAACTCCCCCGCCAGCCAGGGCATCCATCCACTGTGGAGGGAGCACCTCTCTGTGCCAGCCACTCTGCCAGGTGCCAGGGACACTGCCGTGGGCAAGGCAGACACCGCTGCTGCTCTTCGGGAGATTGGAGCCCTTTAGGAAGAGAGTCAGATACTAATCAGATAAGCACAAAACAGGATCACAAACACAGGTGCTGCAGAGGGTCGCACCTCACTGCCTTGGTCTCTTGCAGCGCCCCCCTCCAGTTCCTTGCTGAGCTGCCTGAGTCTCCCTGCGGGGTCCATCCACATCATCCCCACCCTCCCTGCTCTGCCCCAGGGGCTCTGGCAAATCTCAGGAGCCGGGACAGAGGCGTCCAGTATACTCATCTACCAAGGTGAGTGAGGGAGGCCTGGCCCCGCCCCCTCCCTGCTACCTGACTGCTCCCTCCTCCCCAGGCATTTGGCAGGTGCAGCCTAGTAGCCTTTCATGATCCTTCCTCTCTCTGTCCCCATTTCCCAAGAATCAAAGTAGAGGAGCAGAGCTCCCAAGGGGGTCTGGGTGAGGGGCCCACTGAATGAATGGCTGTGTGGCCTTCAAGTGTCCCTTTTCCCCACTAAGCCTTCGTTTTTCCTTCTTTTCCCCACATTATTAAACATTATTATATTTTAAAACTACAACATCAATACATTGTAGTTTGTATGTACCAAGTACCTTTTTAATACACATTAAAAAGTCAAATAATAAGAGATGCTTATAAGGATCACTGAGTTTCTCCCTCACTCTTTTAGTAAAACCCTGTGAGCAGTTTGGTGTGCATCCTTGCACAGCTTTCTCTGAATTACCTTGTTTCGTGATTAGTAAAATGATCCATTCTGTCGCCCACAGTGATGGGCTGTGAATTGCCCAGGGGAAGGCATGTTTGGCTCTCAGAGATGGGAGAGAGAACGAGGCCAGGGGTACACTTCCACTCAATTGAAGAGCATCCTTTGAAGATCGCATTGCCAATTTGTGTATAAGGCACAGGTGCCCCAGAAGCAGGGGGACATTTGGGGCATCTAGGAAAATGAACGCTGACCTAAGCTCTCGCTGAGCTAATTGTGTCCGTTTCACAGATGGGGAAACCAAGGTTTCAGGCGCTAGATGTCACTCCAGAGCTTTTTCTTCAACTCCATCCTGAAATGTTGTCCTTTGAAAGTTCTCTTTTCCTCTCCCCAGACTCCCACACAGGCTGATCTGAGGTGGGGTGACTCAGTTGGGTTCCTGGATGGGCATCTGGTTGTTCTTACATTCCCTTCCCACCTAATGTAGGCGAGATGCCCCAAGCACCCCCTTCCAGCAGCCCAGCTATCCCCAGCCTCCCGAAGTCCCCAGACCGGCCTGGCTCCACCAGCCCCTTCGCCCCGGCTGCAGCTGACCTTCCCAGCATGCCGGAGCCAGCCCTGACCTCCCGTGCAAACATAACAGGTAAGGGGCTCAGGGCCTGTGAGAGGCACTGGAAGCAGGATTCAGGCCCTGGGGAGAAGAATTGCTGCAGACGATCAGGCCACACCCAGCTGCCTGCGGGGACTAGCAGGCTGAGTTTATGTAAACAGGGCTGGGAGGGTGTCCAGGGAGTGGAGGGCCTGGGAGGGTAGGTGAGGGGGACAGCTGGAAAATCCATGTCCCACCTAAACCAGGCCACCAGCCTTTACCAGCTTCTCACCCGGCAGGAAAGCCCAGTGTGGCCAGATCTTCTGAATTGTCAGCAGGATCTGGAAATCTTGATTTTTTACATATTGTGATTTTTAAAAACATTGGTGAAAATGTTTAAAAGTACAGTAAAGCTGGCCAAAGGAAGACATCTTTGAGCAGGATACAACCTCAAGTCCCCACCTTGTGACACCCCCTTGCCCCCCAGCCCTTGTGGGCTCTACCCTCTGCATGCTTCTGCATACTCAGAGGACTGAATGCCTCGGAGGGAGGAAGACCCTAGCGTACTCCTCACCCTAATTCTGACACCGTCTTCTTTGTCTCCAGAGGATGAGATGTCCCCCACCAAATGCCGGGCAGTTCGCAAGGTCTCCAGCAAGCTTCCAAAATATCCTGGTGAGTGGTAGCAGGGTCCCTCTGCCCTGGGTGTTGGAGGCGGGAGCCCAAATCTGGCTTTACTTCACTCATTCACTCAACATTTATTCAACTGCTTATGTTGGCATGCTCATTCATTCATTCACTCATTCACTCATTTGATTCTGCCATCATATTTTCTGGCACTCAAACTTAAGTAATACTTATTGAGGACCTACCCCTCAATAAGCGCACACTAGTGCTGCATCTTGTTTGCAAGGTTGAGAGAATGAATGAAAGAAGAGTGGGTGACTGAGTGAGGGGATGGAAGGAGTTGATGATGAGTATAGGATAGAAGGTGAGAATGGAAGAGCAAATAGTGAATAGCCAAGTTAGTTAAGTGCTTATTCTGTTCCAAGTACTCTTCTATATTAAATCATTAACATCACAAACAACCCTCATATTACCCCCATTTTACAGAGGAGGAAACTGAGGCATAGCAGGTATATAACATGCTCAAGATACACTAATAAGTGGTGGAGCTGGGATTTGAACCAGACACCTGGATTTCACAATCTTAACTCTTAACACCCCACCAATGTCCTCCCTATTGTGAGTGAGTAAAGAAGGAGGTTAGTGAGTAAATGAAGGAGTGGAAAGGTAAATGAGTGAGAAGATGAGGGAATGAATGAGTACAGTGGGGCCTTGACTTACGAGTTTAATTCGTTCCGAGACCGAGCTCGTTAAGGAGCTTGTTAACTCAAATTACTCTATCAACTCAATGCAAAAAATCGGCAGAGAGACAGCTGGTATCTCAAAAAACTCGTTAGTCGGGACACTCGTAAGTCAAGGCCCCACTGGATTTGGGTAACAACGAGGCAGCTAATAAAGAAGGTAGTTGGTAAAGATTGTGTGGAGTATGAATGAAGAAGCTAGTGATGGTGGCCAGGCTGGCCTCTTGGCTGCCCTCCTGGTGGCCATTCCTGCCACTAGCATCCTCCCCTCACCCCACACATCCCTTGGCTTTGCAGAGTGTGTGGAGCAGTTTTGCTGTTCACTACGGGACAAGTACCAGGCCAAGCCCGCAGGCCAGGAAGACATCCTGGTGGAGGTGGACTTGATGAGGGCCCGGCTGGAGAGGAGCAGCAGCAAGAGCCTGGAGAGGGAACTGGTCATCCTGGACTGGGCAGAGCAGCAGCCAGCCCGCGAGGGTCTGGCTGGGGTGCTGCTTGCTGCTAGCGACTGCCGGCGGCCGCGTGAGACACAGGTGATTGCTGTGCTGGGCAAGGCAGGACAGGGGAAGAGCCACTGGGCCCGGGCAGTGAGCCGGGCCTGGGCCTGTGGCCAGCTGCCACAGTACGACTTCGTCTTCTACCTGCCCTGCCGCTGTTTGGACCGACCAGGGGACACCTACCGCCTGCAGGATCTGCTCTTCTCCCTGGGCCCGCAGCCACTGCCGGGGGACAGTGAGGTCTTTGGTCACATCCTGAGGAGGCCTGACCGCCTCCTGCTCATCCTGGATGCCTTTGAGGAGCTTGAAGCCCAAGACGGCCTCCTGCCCGGTACATGTGGACCCATGTCGGCGGCAGAGCCCAGCTCCCTCCGAGGGCTGCTGGCCGGCCTCCTCCAGCGCAAGCTGCTGCGAGGCTGCACCCTGCTGGTCACGGCCCGGTCCCGGGGCCGCCTGGCTCAGAGCCTGAGCAAGGCGGACGCCCTGTTCCAGATGGCGGGCTTCTCGGCCCAGCAGGCTGAGACCTATGTGGAGCGCTACTTTGAACATTTGGGGGCCACTCACCAGCAGGAAAGAGCCGTGGCGCTCCTCCGGGGCCAGCCCCTTCTTCTCAGTCACAGCCACAGTCCCACTGTGTGCCGGGCCGTGTGCCAGCTCTCGGAGGCCCTCCTGGAGCTGGGAGAGGAGGCCGAGCTGCCTTCCACACTTACGGGACTCTATGTTGGCCTCCTAGGCCCAGCGGTCCGTGACAGCCCCCACGGGGCCCTGGAGACCGTGGCCAGGCTGGCCTGGGAGCTGGGCCGCAGACACCACAGCGCCCTGCGGGAGGACCAGCTCCCAGAGAAGGTGAGGGCCTGGGCTGTGGCCAAAGGCTTGGTGCAGCCTTGCCCTGGGGCTCCAGAGACCGAGCTGGCCTTCCCCAGCTTCCTCCTGCAGTGCTTCCTGGCGGCCCTGTGGCTGGCCCTGAGCAGTGAGATCAAGGACAAGGAGCTGCCACAGTACTTGGCACTGACCCCGAGGAAGAAGAGGCCCTATGACAACTGGCTGGAGGGCATGCCGCGCTTTCTGGCCGGGCTGGTCTTCCAGCCTCATGCCCGCTGCCTGGGAGCCCTGGCCGGGCCGGTGGTGGCCAGTGTGGTGGATGGGAAGCAGAAGGCGCTCACCAAGTACCTGAAGCGGCTGCAGCCAGGGTTGCTGCAGGCCAGGCGGCTGCTGGAGCTGCTGCATTGTACTCACGAGGCGTTGGACGCTGGCCTTTGGCGGCATGTGGTACAGGGGCTCCCCGCCAACCTCTCCTTCCTGGGTACCCGGCTCACACCTCCGGACACCCACATCCTGGGCAGGACCTTGGAGACAGCGGGCCGTGACTTTTCCCTGGACCTCCGCAGGACTGGCATTGATCCCTCTGGACTCAGGAGTCTCGTGGGACTCAGCTGTGTCACCCAGTTCAGGTGGGGTCAGGGGATAGGGAAGCGGCTTCTTTGCATTGAGCACCTGCTGTGGTCTTGCTACCATGCTGAGTTCATGCTGTGGGGTCTCATATAGTACGCACAGCAGCCAGGGGCCGGGTGGGGAGACGGGCAGAAGTGATTCCCTCTGTTTTTAAGATGAAGCTGAAGTTCAGAGAGGGCCAGCAGTTTGCCAAGATCCTACATACACCCAGTGAGGGACAGCTTCATTCTTTCAACCAATATTTGAAGGTGCCCATAGGCCAGGCACTGGGCCGTGTGTAGAATCTAAAACTGATTGAGGTTCATATTTGTTTTCTCTCCACCCCTGATCAAGCCACCATTCTGTCATGATTAGATTAAAGCCACAGCCTTCCCTCAACTTCCCTACTTCCATCCATTCTCTCCTCTTCCACTTCACTATATTTAACCATCAGAGCAGTCTTCCCAGAACTTGAATCTGGTCATACTTACAACTCTTTAAAAGCATCCCAATACCTCCAGAATGAAGTTTAAATTCATGAATTTGGCTCATTTAAATCCTTCTGTGATCTGTTTCATCACTTCAGCCTAATCTCTAGAGACTCCCTCCCACCTTACCCATAAATAGACTTTACCCAAGCTGTAAGGTCCTACATCATTGTAGTGGTTCAATCAATAATTTAGCACTGAGCTTCCTAGTAGTCAAAGCAAAAAGGGAAACAAAACCACTCAGAGATTTGGAAAAAAATATTAGTAAGGGTTGGAGTGGTCATTGAGGCTTTCTGGAGGAGGTAGGGGTTAAGCTGGGAGAGGAAAGTATCTGAATACGTAGGAGGTCCCTTCATGAAGCTGCCCCTTCATTATGGTCTAGCCCTGTCACTGTGCATGGGTCTGAGGCCTTCCCTCCACAGGGCCGCCTTGAGTGACACGGTGGGGCTGTGGGAGTCCCTACAACAGCATGGGGAGACCAAGCTACTCCAGGCGGTAGAAGAGAAGTTCACTATTGAGCCTTTCAAAGCCAGTTCCATGAAGGACGTGGAAGACCTGGGCAACCTTGTGCAGATCCAGAGGTGAGGGGGAAGGGGAGGGAGGTGGTCCAGGCCATGCAAGTGGAAGGCCTATAGGACCTGAGATCAAGTTTGCCACTAGCACTTCCAAGGCATCCTCTCCTTTGGGACATCCCGGGCCCTCGCCCTGGGCCACAGCTACCAGAATCTCTCAATGCAGAGCCCCGAGAACTTTCACTTGGTCCCGTACAAAACTCGCCATCATGTACCTCATTCTCTCAGCTAAAGCCAGGGATGTGCGTACTCTTCTTTGCTAAGAGATTTTTTAAAAAAAAAATTTTTAATATATTCTGTTGATTTTCCACAGAGAGGAAGGGAGAGGGACAGAGAGCTAGAAACATTGAGAGAGAAACATCGATGAGAGAGAAACATCGATCAGCTGCCTCCTGCACACTCCCCACCGGGGATTTCCCTGGGCCACAGCTACCAGAATCTCTCAATGCAGAGCCCCGAGAACTTTCACTTGGTCCCGTACAAAACTCGCCATCATGTACCTCATTCTCTCAGCTAAAGCCAGGGATGTGCGTACTCTTCTTTGCTAAGAGATTTTTTAAAAAAAAAATTTTTAATATATTCTATTGATTTTCCACAGAGAGGAAGGGAGAGGGACAGAGAGCTAGAAACATTGAGAGAGAAACATCGATGAGAGAGAAACATCGATCAGCTGCCTCCTGCACACTCCCCACCGGGGATTTGCCCGCAACCAAGGTACATGCCTTTGGCCAGAATCGAACCTGGGACCCTTGAGTCTGCAGGCTGACACTCTATCCACTGAGCCAAACCGGCTAGGGCTTTGCTAAGAGATTTTAATGAGCTGAGCTGCCTTCTGCAGCCAGTAACAGAAGGGACACCTCCGGCCACCTTTCAAGGCAGCCAGGACCAGTATCGTACCCATTTTATAGAGAGCAGCGCTCTGAAGTCCAGAGAGCAGAGGAAACTTGGCCACAGGACAACTGTCTTTCAGTCATGCCATCATCATGCATTGTCTGAGCACATACTCCGTGCTGCCTGGGATGGGTCTGGGAAGTGCCCACTCTGGGCTTTGCCACGGCACACACAGTAATGCCTTAATAACGTCCTGTCTCAGGTTTTATATTTTAATAGGGGGCATCTGTAGCCACAAGAAAGGCAATCTTTGGGGGGAATTTTGGGCATTAGGGCAGGCATCTTAGGACACATAGGTAGGGGCTCAGCAATAGGCAGAGAGCCTACTCCCACCTAACATTGTCCCTTCTCTCCAGGACAAGAAGTTCCTCAGAAGACATAGCCGGGGAACTCCCCGCCATCCGGGACTTAAAGAAGCTGGAGTTTGCGTAAGCAAAGGGGTGGGTTGTCTCGGGTCCCCACGGGGTTTCTTCTCCAGCATTAGCTGGGCTTGTGCCACCAGAATGGAGATGGGTCCCCAGAATTATTCTTACCCTCTCACCCCACCCCTCTGGAAACTAGCTTCTAACAGCTGGGGCTTGGCCCTTCTGGGCTAGTGAAGATAATTGGCTCATTTCCTGGCAGACATGCTTATTTGAATTCATTCATTCAACAGACCTGCTCAGGTGAACAAGGCCACTGTCCTCAATGAGCTTGCAGCCTAGTGTAAAGAGACCGTTGCCACCTGCTGAAATAAGTGGCAGGAAACTCCAGGATTGTGAGAGTGCAGATGTGGGGGAGGCCAGGGGACTTCCTGGAGGAGGTGATTAAAGCAATAAACCTTGAGAAAGGAGTGGGCATGAGCATGTGGGGAGGCCACACAGGGCAGAGGTATTGTTATTATCTCCCCATTGTACAGATGCAGACACTGAGGCCTAGAGAATGTAAATTGCTTGTGCAGAGTCACAAAAGTCAGTGTAGCCTGGCTCTTGCTCCAACAAAGGAAAAAGCCAAATTCGTGTTTGGTCCTTGTAAGGGAATCTAAAATCATCTAACGATTAGGAAGGACTTATTAAACGCCTACAGTGTACTCAGCACATCTTATATATTATATAATTTCACTAATTTCAAGAGCTACTTTGGGAGATAGTCATTATCTTTCCCATTTTACAGATGAGGAAACTGAGACCCAGTGAGGTTGAGTAACTTGCCCAAGGTTCCCTCCCAGCTGGCCACCCACAAGCTGTCTGCTTCTCCTGGTCACTGCTCCCCCTGCGCCCAGAAAAAAAAGCGGGGGGGTTTCTTGTTTCAATCAGAGACAAGTTGCTAAATTTGTGCAGAGATAAAAATATTGTTGAAAAGAGGAAATGTATGAAAACAATCACCAAGGGCTCCTCTAGCTTTGAATTATTTTCAGCTTAAAAAGCCCCTAGTTCAAGATCGGAACTGTGCTTGGGGGGAACAGCAGCCATGGGGTGGAACAGCCCAGAACCAGGACACAGGCCACCTGGAGGCCGGAAGCCCTGAGGCAGTTCTGAGGAAATAAGGAAGGAAGGAAGAAAAAATATTCTGGGCGCATGACTGGCAGCCACTGTTCCAGGCACACTGTAGGCCTCACCTACCCACAGAGGTCAGACTGCTCGGGCGCTGAAAGTCCTGCAGAGGCTCTGCCTTGTAGACAGGGTTCTTCTCTGATTCAGCGCTCACTTACCTCTTCACCTGACCTCCTACACTCCCTCCCTTGCTCACTCCACTCTAGTCACATGGGTCTCCTTGCTGGTTTTCAACCTTTCTAAGCACGGCCCAGCCTCTGGGTTTTGGCATTGGCTGTGCCTTCTGCCCAGGACACTCTTCCCCAGATAGCTATATGGCCGGCGCCCTCACTGTCTTCTAGTTCTCACTGAGCGAGGCCTTTTCTGACCCCCATTTTTTTCTTAATTGATTACTGACCCCATTTTTAAAAGTAAAATTCCACCCCACATCATGTATTGTCCCCCACACCAAATAGTATACCAATATTTTTTCATTGATTTCAGAAAGGAAGGGAGAGGGAGAGAGAAATAGAAACATTAATGATGAATCATTGATTGGCTGCCTCCTGCATGCCCCCTGCTGGGGACTCCAACCCTGACCTCCTGGTCCATAGGTCAACACTCAACCACTGAGCCACTCCTGAGGGGCATAACCAATATCTTTGATTATCTGTCTTACCCACTGAATGTCAGCTCCACAAGGGCAGGGATTTTTGCCTGATTTGTTCACGGCTGTCTCCGTGGCGGGCTCTATGGGCCTGGCACCCAGGAGGCCAATAATCAATATTTGATGAATGAATCCCTTAATCCTAAAAACCTCAGAAGGTTAGAGCTAAATTTTAGAAGACTGAGGTGCAGAGGCGAAAGGATTTGCCCCAAAGGCCCCAGGGGAGGGAAGCGGCAGGTCCTCGGCTCAAATCAGATTGTGGACTCCTATCTCGGAGACTAGTGGTTCCCAAACTTTGGGGTTTCAAAGACACAATATTTCAGAGTGAATCTGAGTGGCTATGTGCAGTTACCATCTTAATTTTTATCAAGTATAATTCATTCAAACAAGCAAATAACCCCTGCTGGCACCATCGTTTTATCAAAGAATGAACATTTTAATGGCAAAAAAGTCCAAAGAACATAATTTCAGAATAAAGGACTGTTCTATGTTTACCATATCTTAAAAACAAAGCAGCCCTCCATTGTCTTTATTTTTCCCATTCTCTCAAAGTCTAGTCTAAATGACCATCCAGGCTAGGTGGCCTCCCGTGAGTTAGTTAACCTCTCTGTGCCTCCAGTTCCCACCTGTAAAATGGGGACAAGAATTGCTCTTAGCTCAGAGTCATGGTGGAATTCAATGAGATCTAGTCTGAGTGAAGGACACGCTGTGTTCCTGGCACGTAATAAGTGCTCAAGAAACTCTTCTATTTGTTATTAAAGTGGAAATAAGCAAACCATCTTTCTTGGGACTGGTAGTGGTCCTCAAGTCAGCATTTGGGAACCAGGCCAGGGCAGGAGAAGTGTGCATGTAGATGTAGGCAGGAGTGAGAACCCATCCAGATGAAAGCTGGGGAGCCCCCAGGTGGCCACTTGAGGTGCTTTGAAATCTTAGAGCAGATTTGGGGTCCCACTTGATGGGACTAGGGGGAGGAAAGTCAGGGTAGGGGAGGAGGCCTCAGACGGGCCTGCCTTCTGTGCCCTGTCTGTACCCCACCCTGAGGCTGAATTGAGGGACCATGACTGTTTCAGGGTCTTACCTCTGCTCTTTGCTTCCTAGGCTGGGCCCTGTCGCGGGCCCCCAGGCTTTCCCCAAACTGGTGAGGATCCTGGAGGCCTTCTCCTCCCTCCAGCATCTGGAGTGAGTACAGACCCCAGAGCCACCTGTGACTCAGGCTTTGGAGCCCCCAAACCCTGCCCCTGTTTGTGTGAGTTTGTGTCTCTTTGTCCTGCTGCTTCCTTTATGGGGCTGGTGTGAGTGACCAGATGACCCCACTATAGGGAAGTGACAACAGATGGCAATTCCCCCTCCCCCCCTTTTTTTTAAGTCAAAACCTTTTATGACCTTTGAAACTCTTCCCCTCACATGTTGCTCCCAGCAGTCCACAGAGAAGCAGGGTCAGAGAGCAGGATCCCACGGTATAATCAAGGCACAAGAGGTTTCCAGGAAGTTGCCCAAACTTGTGAGGGCTCCTAGGAAGCAAAATAGGGATTTGGGTCCGTTGAGAACTACAACCTTGTCGCCTGGCTGGCTGATTGGTGCCCCTGGGTGATGAAGACTCCCTCTCAAAAGCTCAGGAGCAGATAGATATCTGCTCTGGTGTGTCCAGGGGTGGGGCATGGGAGGAGGCCCCAGATGGGCTGGAGGGAGGGGAAAGGTCAGGTGACTTCCCTGGCTGATGGCCCTCCATCTGATTTCATCTGCAGCCTGGACTCGCTGAGCGAGAACAAGATCGGGGATGAGGGTGTCGCGCAGCTTTCAGCCACCTTCCCTCGGCTGAAGGCCCTGGAAACAGAGGGGAAAGGTCAGGTGACTTCCCTGGCTGATGGCCCCCCCCCATCTGATTTCACCTGCAGCCTGGACTCGCTGAGCGAGAACAAGATCGGTGATGAGGGTGTCGAGCAGCTCTCAGCCACCTTCCCTCAGCTGAAGGCCCTGGAAACGCTCAAGTAAGTGGGCTGGGCCTGCCCTTCTTGCTCCATTTTCCCTCAAGGCAGGCTGGCTTTTTTATTCTTTCATTCACTTATCCATCCTCCAGTCATTGATCCACATAATCATTCATCCATCCATTCCTTCATTCTCCTTTCACTCATTCATTCCTTTATGTAATCATTCATGCATCCAATCACTTCTTAATTTAATCAACAAATATTTAAGGAGCACCTAATGTGTGCAGGCTCCATTCTAGGCCCCAGAGATCCAGCTTTAAACAAAATAAGCCACATCCCTGACCTCAGGAGTCTTCTAGTGAGAAGACACAATAAACAGGCAAACAAACAAATAAAGCCATGATTATAAAGTATACTAGAAGCCCCGTGCATGAAAATTCATGCACTGGCAGAGGGGGGAGGGAGTCCCTCAGCCCTGTCTGAGCCCTCTCGCAGTCCAGGACCCCACGGGGGATGTCCACCTGCCGGCTTAGGCCTGCTCCCTGGGGGATCAGGCCTAAGCTGGCAGTCAGACATCCCTCTGGTAGCCTGGGAGTCCTCAGGGAATGTCCACTTGCCAGCTTAGGCCCGCTCCCTGGCGGAACGGGCCTAAGCTGGCAGTCGGACATCCTTAGCGCTGCCGAGGAGGTAGGAGAGGCTCCTGCCACCGCCACTGTGCTCACAGCCATCAGCCTAGCTTGTGGCTGAGCGGAGCTCCCCCAGTGGGAGCGCACTGACCACGAGGGGCAGTTCCTGCATTGAGCATATGCCCCCTGGTGGTCAGTATGTGTCATAGTGACCAGTCATTCCTGGTCGTTCTGCCATTAGGGTCAATTTGCATATTACCCTTTTATTATATAGGATAGTAATAAAAGTAAACAATGTTTAGTGACAGAAAATTACCCTGGAGGTGAAATAGGAGAGATAGATTAGGATTTATCAGTAAAATATTATCAAAATAGTATATTTTTATTTTTTTAAACTATTCTGTGTCCTAGTCAAATGGTTCTAGGTTCAGTTCCAGTCAAGGGCACGTACCTTGGTTGCAGGCTCCTCCCTGGACGGGCCCCTGGTCAGGGCTCTTGCAGGAGGCAACCAATTGATGTGTCTCTCTCACATCATTGTTTCTCTCTCTGTCTTTCCCTTTCTCTTCCACTCTTCCTAAAAATCAATGGAAAAAATATCCTGGGGTGATTAACAACAAAAGCTATTCTGTGCTTTGGGAAATAGGAGATAGATATGATACAAGAAGATCAATATGATATTTTTCTTTTTACTGAACATAGATGGTATCATCAAAATTTATCCACACCCCACTTCATAACCATGATTAGGATGGCCACAGAATTCACCAGAATTCACTTAGGCATTTCCTTGATTATAAGATACTGAGATTTCTCAAAGTAATTTATAGTGTTCTAGGTAACACTGTGAGTAAGCCAGATTTCTCTTTTAGTCCTTCCTTCCTTCTTTTCCTTCCTTTCTTTTCTCCTCCCTTTTTCTGGTCCATCCCTCCCTCTTTTCCCTTCCCCTCTCTTTCCTTCATTTCACCACCCTACTTAACTTTTTATTGAGCACCTACTATGTGCGTGGTGTTACTCTAAGCACAGCAGAAATACAGTAATAAACAAAAAAACAAACCAGACCCCTTGCCTTGTGGAGCCCACATCCATCAGACAAATAACATGAACACTTACGTAGTTACAGAGCTGAAAAGTCATCCCAAGGGGCCCTCACCGTTTTGGCTCAGTGGACAGAGTGTAGGCCTGCGGATTGAAGGGCCTGGGTTGTGGTCTTGATCTCCAGTGGGGGGCCTGAGGGAGGCAGCCGATCAATGTTTCTCTCTCATCAGTGATGTTTCTGTCTTTCTCTACCTCTCCTTCCTTTCTGAAAGCAGCCAATCAATGTTTCTCTCTCATCAGTGATGTTTCTTTCTCTACCTCTCCCTTCCTTTCTGAAATCAATAAAGATATATTTTTTAAAAAGTCATTCAAAGGGGATGCTATAAAATCATAAAACAGGTGTGGGCAGGAAAGCACTCTCTCTTGTGCATCCTCACCCCCATCATCCCACTCAGCCACAGGGCCTAGCAGTATCCTTTTATTTACTAAGAGTTACCACCAGTCTACCCACGTGCCCTTCACAGTTGATGACCCACAGCTCTCCTTGAGGTCATTGTCCTGTCTTAGCTGCTCTGGGCCACCCTGTGCAGAAGCGAGTTTCTCAGTTCTGTCCCAGGGAAGGCAGGTAGTGGGGAGGGGTGTACAAGGTTGGCCCTCTTGCTGTGTCCCTGCAGCTTGTCCCAGAACAACATCACGGATGTGGGCGCCTGCAAGCTCGCCAAGGCCCTGCCCTCACTGGCTGCATCCCTCCTCAGGCTGAGGTGAGTGGGGCCCTGCTGAGCTGGTGGGCCGGGGGAGGGCAGAGAGCCCCCTTTGTACCAGCTGCAAAGTCCCACACTGGGACCCTGGAGGCAGTCACTGCAGGCTGTTCTGCTGTGTCAGAGTTGCACAACTTGCAGGGGCGGGGAGGGGAGGGAAGGGGGTGGTGGTGGTGGTGGTACCCATCTAAAATCCAGTATGAACACAAACCCCTGGTTGGGCAATGCCTCTGTTTCTTCATCTGGAAAATGGGTACCATCCCAATGCCCTATGGAAAGCCCTTGGTGCAATGCTGGGCCCCAGGGCACAATAAATATTGATTCTCTTCTCCCAGGGGATGGAGGACTGAGCTTTCTCTAGAGCCTTTTTATTTTATTTTATTTCAGAGAGAGGAAGGGAGAGGGAGAGAGAGATAGAAACATCAATGATGAGAGAGAATCATTGATCAGCTGCCTCC